GGGCTTTCCTTGCTACTTCAAGGATCCCAAAAGGAATGTTTGTGTTCTTAGGATCCATGAATCCCTTCCCTTTAGCTGCCAGCCCAGGATCTTGTCATCCAATGACTCAGTATTGTTTCCATAAGCACTGTGTTGACATGGATCAAAACAAGGGATGTCATTTTTTGAGGGCTATTTTGCTGTCTCATATTGCTATCTCATCGATGATGAAATCTCTATCTAGAGATAGAGATGATGAGTGTTGGGTTTTCAGGCCAGCACTGCAACCCATTCAGTCTTCATGGCTTGAAAGTTAAGTGCGGTTCCCTTGGAAGCCAGCAAGAGTAAGCGGGCAGAATGGCTGTGTAGTACTCTGTCTACTATGATATATGTTTTTTGTCTCCTGAGGAAATGAAGTTCTGTATTTTTCATTAAGAATAAGGTGATACTATGCTCCTTCAGTTGCAGGAGGGATCAGGTGTACAGCAGAGCAGGTGCAGCATGTGTGAGGACCACCACTTCCCCCTGCAGAGGAATGCAGGTCTATAAACAACTACAGAAGAGGTTTGCTAGGTCAGAGGGTTTAAGTGAAGGGAAGGCTGCTTGAGTATCATAAGCTTGCAGGGATGTCAGTCCTGCTAGGTTTGCTATGAACGGGGTTTTTTTTAGTAATTCTGGGACGTGCTTTTGTGCTGAGTCCTATTTTCACGTTTCTTTAAACAACTCTAGTACCAAGTGCTGCTTTTAGCATTGGTCAGCACTGCCCTGGTCCTGGGGGGTTCAATCATGGGTAACACCAAGTGACATTACATGATGGTTATGCAGGAACCTTGAGATATATCTGGAGGATGAATCCTTTAATTACTTTTAACTTCATGGAAGGCTCAGACAATCTTCAGTTCTTTGAAATAGCGTGCCAGATCTTACGGAGAATAGCTGAAAGCCAAGCACTCATTTTCCCTGTGTGGAGATCCAGCATCTGGGGGCAAGTTGCGAGAGTGTTGCCCCCGTAAGGTAGACAGTCCTGGCTACAGTAGAAGACGAGGGCATGTTGTAGTACCTGGGGGTCTGAGTATCTGTCCATCTCCAGAAGAACCAGTGTGAGTGCATGTGCTGAGCTGTGGAACAGCTGTAAAATTTGTACTTAGCTGAAGAAGAGTTTAATAGTCTCTGTGGCGGTTTGAGGGTTTTGAAAAGCCATGTCTCTTCCATGCTGCTTGCTCCTCATACCTGTCTTCAAGATCAAGAGTATCTCCAAGGTTGCTGCTCTTGCAATTGAGGGAGTAAGATTTGCAGCAAGAGAGTATATTTTATTTGACTAACCGATACAAGATGGGGAGGGGGTTAAGGCAAGCTGCTGGGCACACAGTCTTTCTTCCTGATTGTACTTCGAAGTAGGAGCCTGGTAGGTTGCTCATTGAAGGTTAAATTTGAGCTGAGTAGGTATTTAAGTGAAAATATCGCTGGGTAAATAGGATGGTGATGAAGATGATGGATAGCTGCACCTTCTTGATAACTGTGCTTTCTTAGTGATATGGAGTAAATCTTGAGTTTGTCAAGCTTGGCTTTGACTTGCTCAAGTGCTGAAGCTTCTGTTGCACGTTCTGGGTAACGTATGAGGTGAACACTGTTTTTTGCTTTGAAGAGGATTTTGTGCAATACTGCCTGCAGCTGAGAAAGGAAAGGCTGGAGCCATTTATGGTAAATGTACTTAATGAAATAACGTGCATGGTTCTAACATCAGATCCTAAATTGATGGTCCCTGGGAGGCTGGCATAAGTTAAAAACTAGTCTAGGGAGTATTTACTGTTTAAAACAAAAAACCATCTCGGAATAGTTTGATCATTTCTGCTCTTAAATGGCTTTTGATAAGCCATCTGTTAATGCTTTGTAAATAGAGATAAATTTGAGCCTAGAGTGTAAGATAGCTGTGAAACTTATCCCTCCCTGCCCCCACTTCCCTTTTTTTAAAGGGTGATTAACTTGAAAATGACACCATTTCTTTAAAATGTTGTTTCTGTTAGGTATATCATCAGATAATTGTAACAAGAAGATCAGGGGGAACAGGCTTCAGTTTGTATGTGAAACAACTGTTTGCACAGTCAGCTTAACTATTTTGGCATGAAGAAGTTTTATAGCGAAGAGAGAAAAGTTATAAGAAACTGGTTGCAAAAGCCTAGCTGTTAGCAGCATGGAAAAGAGAAATTGTAGTACACCTAAAACAATTTGACTTCATTTTTTTAATTATCTGCTTCTCCTCCTGACTATGTACCTTTTAAAAATTGCCACCTATGGTTATCTCAGGACACATTCTTAGAGTTAAACAATGTTTAATTGAGTTGCTAACGTTGTCAAAGGGAAATGTGGACTTAATCCCAGGAGCTAGCTGTTATGCTGAAAGGCATATTCGAACCACTGACAGTCTCTCCTATTTGCCCTTTCTGGTACTCGTCTAATTGGGAGCTGCAGAGGTAAGCGAAGTATTTCAGGCGTTGGTTCAGTCATGCACTTGCCGAAGTTTGCTTTGCGCGATGTTTCTGCACGCTTCATTCCTTGGCGGCGGGAATCACTGTATGTTAGGGACAGCAGGGCCTGACTTGGAAGGGTTCTTAAAGCACACTTAGTGTTAAACATGTGCCATTTCTTCTTTGAATCAGTGGTAAGTAAATGTTTAATGGAATATTGTGTCACTGTTACGGAAGTACAGAGTGGTTTTAGATGGATGTGGTTCTTGGCACTTCTCCTACAAGTCTCTCTATGTCAGGCTGCCACTCTTTCTGTATAGTCCTATGAATTTTATGTATAGACCTGTACTGCAACAAGATGCTGTCATGGGGATGGTAAAAAGATAATCCCTACGCTGAAAATTTTTGCTTCGCTCAGTCATAGGAGCAGCTGAAGCAAGAAGTCGAGCCTTGTCTTCGTGACGTAAGGTGAATGGAGCATTTTTGTTCCTAAAATGCATGGCAGCGTGTCCCAGGAGAGTTAAGGCTTGAAGAACACTTTCTGCAGCTAAACTGTAGCTGAGCAGTAGTACACAGCCTTCGGGGTTTTTGGGGAGTACAGTGATATTACAGTTGTGTCTGGTAGCCTGTGTCTGTTTTGCCAGCTGTTGTACAGGCCCTGCAAGAGCAGTCTCTGCCCTGACCAGCTTGCTGCCTAAATAGCCAGGGTAAACAAGGGCTGGGAGGGGAAGCAGAGGCAGAGAGATGTCAACCGAGCTGCCCTCTGTGCAGCAGGTCAGTGTCAGAGCCAGGAATAGCAGAGGGTGCTTTAAGCCTTCAGCCAGTGCCTGTCTGCTGGACCACCTTGGACTGGGGAAATCGGAGAGGCAAAGAGCTCGTTGCAAGGTGGTTCTTTATTTAAAGCGTGGAAGAAAGGAATAAAGTTGCAGCTGGGCTAAACTTATTTCCTCTTTGTAACAAAGGAATTTTAGAGGGCGAGTTAAAAGTTACAGCCTAAATGGTGTGACAATGTGCTTTTTGTAATGTATTAATAGCTGTTGTCAAAATACAGAAATGTTCCGCTGCACGTTTCTCTCTCCCTGTCTCCTGTTCTGCCTTGCCCACTAGGATCACGGTATAATCTCCAGTTCAGACAAACAGATTCATAAATGGATGAATTTGTCATCCCTGAGTATTTAAGAGCTTGTGTAAGCATTTCTGTGAGTTAATAAAAGCTGTGTTTTCTCCAGATCTTGGAAAAATATATACACCTGCAGGAGCAGGAAATGGCCAATCTGTGCAAGTCACATCCAAACGCAAACTGGAGCGATCATAGGAGACCTCTGTCTTCAGTACTGGAGGGGGAGGGAGTGTGAATGCCTGTAAAGCTGCTTCAGTTTCCTTCATCTTTTAAAACTTGTTTTACCGAAGTTTCATTAAACTTTCGGTCAGAAATGAAGTAGGCAATGAACTGGTGCAGATGATGCAGAGGGAAATACTCTGGGGAGGATTATTGCAATAACGGCAAAAGCCTGGAAGAGGGCACACAGCTATTGCTTTGTGCTGGAAAAGTCAGTGGTTTTTGGAAACCCCTGTTAGATTCATTCTTATTCCGCCTTAAACTGTCAGTTTTGGGCAGGACAGATGGGTCAGGACAGCGCCACAGTATTGAAACTGCTTTGTGTTCTGGGAATGTGAGGTCATTTGTAAGAGTCTTTCAGGCCTGCCTACCCGTCCCTTAAAATCTCCATGAGTTCAGAGTGGAAGGAGAACTGCGTCTGGTTCAGGGCTCAAAACGCGTGTGCTGCGCTATTGCTGTGATCCCTGTAACCTGCCTCAGTGAGTTACAGTGATCCCTGTAACCTGCCTTAATATGGGTTATTTCCCTCCAACCAACTACCCTGACAGCCTGCTCTCTCAAATCAGAATACACGACGGGCACTGAGCAGCTGCAGGTTTTCTTGGATCTTCCCAGGGCTGTGCATTGTTTGAAGCAGCCCAGTTTTCATCTCCAAAGAGTCCCTGTGAGAGGCCAAATCCTGCCTGGAGTTTCTAGCCAGGATCCCATTGCAGTCCCTTCTAAGGGGGAGGGTGTCCGATGGGAGAGCGGTCTGGCTCAGTCTCAGTGATGATGGTTTTCTGGGAAGCCTTTGTGAAGGTGTGTCTTTGCTGCATGTACAGAAATTCAGCTCGGGCTCTAAGAAGAGTCTCTGACTCCTTCATGTAGGTGAGTCGTTCCCGAGAGCTGTGAGGCGGAGCGTTAAACCTGCACAGCCCGGTAATGTCCAACCGAGACGGCGTAGACGCTCCAAAGGAGGCCTGGAACAGCGAGGGAACCGTCTGCAGAGCTCCTTCCTCCATCTCGGAGTTATTTGAATCCGTGTCAAATAGGAAGGGGGGAGTGTAGGAGGCGGATTGAACCTGGCAGTAAGCTAAATAAAGGTCATGTGCTAAAGGAATTCAGGTGGAATTTTTATCCTGGAAGAGGCATTTTGAAAGTCTGCCGACTGGTTGAGGACAGCAACAGGAGCTCCTGACAGAAATAGCTTTTCCCTCTCGGCTGTCTGTTGGTGGCCCATGACTTGTGAGCACACCGAGACCCCGCCGCTCAACAGGTGTGTCCCCATTACACAAATAAGCGTGGTTGGCCCCTGCGTTAGCTAGCTCTGCCACAGGGCCAAGGTTGAAAGCGGGGCTTAGCCACTGTGACCTATTTGTTTCTCCGCGTGACCCTTCCAGTCCGGCCCGAGGCAGGCTGGTGACAGCTTTTATGCAGATAGCAGGTTTTGTCCACGGAAGAGATTCAATCTCAGCAGGTCTCTGCAGACTTGCATTTCCAGATGGGCTCTTCAGCACTTACGTAGCAAAATGTGAAGGACTTTGGTGGGTTGGGATGCCCCATGCAGCTGGGAAAACACACAGTGTGAGATGTTGGCGTTCTCTTCTGTAACACGGTATGTGTTGTTGCAGGCACCGTGGTTTTGGCACATGCTGAAATTGTGGACAGCCGGTAGGAATCTCCCTGGGATGCAGTAAAGCACAGAAGCTCTTGCTACTGAAGAAATACTGTTTCTGGTGGCAAAGGAGTTTGGCTGGGGAGGAGATCGTCGAAGGCACAAACTGCTGGAGATGAAGGTTTAGGAGGAGACGTGCTTGGTCTCTGGCTAAACGATTCTTTTTGTTGCTTGCTTTTGGGGCCCAGGCCAGCGACTGCTGCAGTGGCTGAGGTCACCCGGGTCAGTTGCGTTGCGGGCTCGTAGTCCCAGTCTCTCACTTTGGCAGCTGGGAAGTGGGCTCCAGAAGGAATATTGTATTTCTTTTGGTAACTCTGCCAAGAAAGAGAGGAAATCTGTAATTTGAAGAAAATACTGTAACTTTTTTTTTTTCCTAGGGTGGGGTGAGGTAGGAAGGGGGAAATGAAAAATCCTTTATAATGCGTTGCTTGGGATGGCTTTTAACCTGGAAATGCCTCTCAGACTGCAAGAAATGGTCAGCTTCTCTTTCATAGTGTAGTGAAGCCTTTGTAAAGGGAGCTTCCATCAGAAGCGTGTGCAGTTGGAAATGTATGTTCCCTCACGTCATTCATTGCACCACGTAGTTTGGAGTCCCGGTAGAGTGCTTCTTGGATTAATTGGGCAATAACAAAGATAGCCTTGCGTGTTCTGGATGATGTGACTTTATCAGCTGTTGATAACTGTGATGCCCTAGCAGAGGTAGTAAAATGATGCACTCTGGGCTTTAAGAACATTTTGCTTGGATTCCATTGGGTGTTCTAATGCTGTGTTTGCTGGTTCCTTCATCCTGTGTGTCCTGTCATCCTTCTAGGATGTTGGGCTGTACTTAATTCGCTTTCTGATGAGGGGCTGTGTAGGTCCTGGTATAGAGAACGGTCCTTCCTCAGCGAGTCAGCCTTCTACAGTCTTGAAGTTCACTGTTGGGTGGCTTCTCCGAGAACGTGAATGCCAAGATCTTGATTTCACAGATCCCTTAAGCATGTATTGAATTTTAAGCATGTGGCTTAGTATGCGATGCTGGATTGCACAGTAGGGAAGGTCAAGGTATTCACTGGCTGGTGGACAGCGCTCCCTCCTCAGCATTTCATGTAGCGTTTGACTTGATGAGGTGGGTTGTTCTCCTGAATCCTTGGGTGTTCAAACCGGTTGAAGTGGGAGGTACTTGGTTAAGTCACTCAGTGTAGATGTGTGCTGTCTGTTGATTGTCTCAGGTCATCACAGAACAACTCTTCAAGATCTGCATGTATAGGCAGTGTTGATCATGATTGAAGCAAAATGGTCTTGGTAGGGGAGAAAAGGATCTCTTTTGTCAAAAGATTAAGTTTATACAGTGATACTCTCTTTAACTTTCTAAGATTTGGGAACAGCTCTCCGGCATCGCAGTGATGCTCATCACCTTTTTTGATGTATTCTGGGAGTTGCTCTGGGGGATGCTGTTGAGGAGGTAAATCAAATTATATCTCTGTGCTTGATTCCATCACTGGGCTTGATTTAACTTCTCTTCTGGTGTAGGGGATCAGATGTCTCTGACCAGTACTTGAAAACCATTGCGGTTCAGTCTCTGCTGCCCTGGTAATGGCAAAGGGGAGGGATGTAGCAGGCCAGTTTCTATGTCCCCTTTCTCATGGCCTCCCTTTTTTGCCTCTATTTTGAATAAATAAAATGTCTGGGAAATAAAAGGTGAAGCCTTCTAAGATGTGTTTAAATTAGCTGGATCCAGAATTGCAGTATGGAGGAGGCAGGCTGGAGGAATAATGTATCTATTATCAGTAAAACAAAGACAAAACAAACAAAACCTCCCAAAACCACACCAGACCTCCCCCATATAGTCCTCCCCACCTAACCCTTGCCGCTTCCGGACAGGAACTGTTGATCTGCGTGAGAGAAGGTGTCTGTTGCAGGAGTAGCTGCAAGGATGAACTGGTACTGTGGGCCAGGACAACGTGTGACTCTTCCGAAATGCCTCTTTCAGCAGCAGGAAGATCGAGGCCTGTCCCCCTGCTAGAAAAGTGACCAGCAGTGTAAGGTGGAGGCTGCTTTTTTGACCTTGGATTCACCTTTTTCAGAGCCTTGGAAATTACATCTAGTCTTGGTAGGGTTTGTGCGTTGAGCTCAGGATGTCTGGTTGGGCCAGTGCTTGCCAGGAGGGGGTTGTGGCATGAGTGCGTTTTCCATCACTCTGCAAGCTGGTGACTTCAAATCTGTATGTGGGGAGAGCTTAACTGAGGAGTGAGCGTGGGGAGGAGAAGTGTTTCGGAGTAATGAATGGAATTGGGTGTAGGCGGGGAGCCTGAACTCTGTCTGGGAGAGTAATAAGCAATGAGGGAGCTGCTGGACCTGTCCTGGCTTCGGTGCTGTGAATTCCTCATCTCGGATGCTGTCTGGCCCCACGAGCTTCTGCGAGTGGGCTCTTTAAAGATGGAATTCCTCTTCTTCCAGCCTAGGATAACTCGAGTGGTGTGTGGGGTTTTTTTTGTTTTGGTTTTTTTTGAGAGAGAGAGTTAGGAGAAATAAAGAGGTTCCTAAAATTTAGGGCTTCCTAAATTCAGTTTTATTTGGTGTGGCTCTACTGATCATAAACTTATAGTTGCAAAGCTTTCTAGGGGACAAAAAGCTTTTCTCTGTGTGGTTTTTGTTTAAAATGGGTCACATGCCCAGGAATGCAGTCAAATTATAATGGTGACTAAGTGCCGGAAAACATGGAGAAGGGGAGGGAAGGGTGAGCAGCAGAAAAGGACCCTGAGGCTATGGAAGCAAGGCTGGGAAAATGAGAATCTGGCCAGGCCCCAGGGTCAGGTTAGAGATTCCTACACCCATTAACAACCACAGGAGATGTTTATTTACAGGGAGCTAATCTTTGTTCCAAAAATGACAGAGTGCCCAAAAATCTTACTTTTGGGAAGTAGGTCGGGGGCACGGTAGAGATGGGAGGAGGAAACTGATGCCTGATCGGAACCAGACCCCATCTCTCCAGGATCTTCCCTTCATCCTGTGTGTCTGGGAACATTGGCTGTTGAGAAATGCATGGAAGGGGGATAAACTCTTGCCATCTAGTAAGTGGTTCACAACCCCTAGTTACAAAGGATAACTTCACAAGTTACTCTTCTGATCTTTTCTACCTAAGCAGCTCTACCAAGGATATTGAATAATTAAGTTTATGATATGAGAAAGACAGGAGCTAAAGCTGCCTTTCCGCCCCCTTCTTTAATCAACCTTGGCTTGCGAAAGCAAACCAGATGTTTAACAGCTGTTTGAACTGGGTATGTTCATGTAGGCTCTAAAGAGACCTTGGTCCCAGGTCTCTGTGGTACCTACCTTTTGTCACCTCTTGAGCTGTGTTGATCTTGGCTTGTCTTAGCTTGTCCTGAGAGCTTTGATTTGTATCCCAGCCACTGCTTATGAACTACAGTCTCTCTTTTAGTAACTTTGTCTGTAAGCAGAGAATTTTCCAACAGTGTAGAACTCTCTACCCTTTGGTGAGCTGCTGCAAAAGATAGTCCATCTTGGGTCATGAGTACATTGGGTGTTTATACAGATGAATACATTTTATTTTTAGTTTGAATGTGTCTTGATTTCTAATTATTGTATCTGGTTATGTGATTGTCGGGCAGGTGAGAGTCTGGAGCAGTTTCTTTACTAAGCTCTGGCTAGACACACTCCTCTGGCTTCTAGCTTGTGTTCTCCTGCCTAGCGTTCCCTCCATCTGCTCTTGTATGGTGTTGTCCTTACCTTAAGTGGCTTTGGTATCTATTAGAAGAGTGATGTCCTGCTTCTCTGGTTGCTCTCATAGTTTCTTTCTGTGTCATCTTGTTTTGATTACGTTTTGGCTGAACCTGTGTTGCACTCAGTGTATTAGATCAGGTCTTGATCAGATTTAAGGCATGTACACTAGTGGTCGTCAGGGATGGCTTTCTTTGCTGTGAAGCACCCCCTCTGCTCAGTGTTCCTCTCATATCAAGTGTCATGACTACGCTTGCTCTGGTGTGGCTCAGGCACCATCAACATTTGCCAGTTCATCGTTTGTGGAACCAGAGCGAGAAAATACCTGTGACCAGCTTGATTGTATTTGTTGTCCCTATGGCATCAGTCCTGGTTGTTAATCTCCTCTCTCTTCCTCTGTCTGCAGAGCGGCTGGCATTCCAGTGAAGGAAAGGGTGAAAGTATCTCAGAACTGGAGGCACGGACGCTGCCGGAGGGAGACGGTCCTGAAATGGAAATGCAAGCAAGTGGTTCCTTTCTCTTCTACTTTGTTTGGTGTCAGCTGCTGCAGAGCCTTGGGTTTGCTTCTGTGCCCTGAAATCAGATGTGTCCTCCTCCGTGTGATCCACAGGGCCTTACCAGTGATGTTGCTGGCCTGTTTTGAATGTTGCTGGCTAGCTGGATGTGGGGTAACTGGAGTTGCTGTCTTGCCCAGGGATTCACTCTGAAAGTCCGGAATTCCTCTCTTAAGAGCTTGAAGTTGGCAATATTCTGATCTGCACAGTTACAGTTAGATTTAGCAGTCTTGACTCCAGGCTTCAAACCATTATGTTCCTACCTATTGCTGTATACCATGAGCAATTGTTGAGAGTCCTGCTCTCAACAAGCATAGCTTGCTCCCAGACGTTGACTTAGGTGTCCTTGCAGAATGTGTGGGTTGTCTCCCGTGCTTCATCCTGGACATGGATTTGGATGTACAGATCTAAAATGCTAATTGCTATTCTTCTACCTCGTGCTTCTTCATTCACCTACTTTGTTTCCCTCCTTCACAAAAAAAAGCATGTCTGACGTTAATAAGAGGAGGTGGTTGTTAAATTCTTGCTTACAAAGGTGTACTCAGCTCTCAAAGCATAAGATAGGTCTCTTATCTGAATAGCACATCTAAATCTTCAGCCTTCACACCATCAGACAGAGGAAAAGTGAGAGACTATGGTTCCCTGAAGAACAGGGACCAGCTACTGAGCTTTCATGCCTTTCTGTGCTGTGTAGCTTGAAGCGATGGATAATGTGCCACTGCTTGCCTAAAATCCTGGGAACAGCTGTAACGAGCAGTGGGTTTTGGTGCAGGTTATATACCTGCCTTTGAAGTGCTTGCAACCATCTGTGAAGACAGGCTCTGTGGTTGTTAAAGATCATTACTATACCAGCTTCCCAAGTGAAAAGGCAGGGACTGATTTAATGAGGCCACCATCCAAACTGCATCCTCCAATTTTCATTTATCCTGCTTCAAATTTGTTATTTCTCCTTATGAAAAAGCCATAAAAAAAGGTAAAAAGCTAAGCTGCAGCAGGAGAGCCACAGAAACTGGCTGTAGTCTGGGTGAGCTGGATATTCACTTGCTTTTAGAGGACTGTGTAGGAGTGGAGGAAGGAAGAGAAAATCAAAGGCCGCTTTAAACCAAAGCTGTTGCTCCAAAGATGCCTCTTACTTTTTTCCGTGCGCATGGTCAAGTCCCAAATGACTGTTAAAACCTAGGCTCAACTGCTTTGTCCTGTGACTAAAAGTCTGTTATTGGAGATGAATGCAGGCAAGCAGGAGCCGTCTGTCTAATGAGCAACCTTGTCGTCTTGCTTGTTGCTAGTCCCTCCCTGTGCTGATGCGAGGTGTGTCTGTGTGCGAGTGGCTCTGCTGACGCAGGAAATCATGACCTCTGAGGATGAATGACCTGCATAAGAGAGAGACAGGTTTTTATGAGAAACCACTCTGCTTTCAAAACAGGTTGTTCTTGAATAGTTTGAAAACTGAAAGGCTCTGGTTTTGCTGAGTGCTCATGTGGGTATTGGTGCACTTGGCAATGACTGTGCAGAGTGGAGAAAATTCCATGCAGCCCTGCCCCATAGGACATCAGCCCTGTGTCTTTTTGTATCTGGCCTTGCTGTATCCAGAAGACCTATTTGTTGTTTCACCAGTGGCTAGATGAAAGGAAGATCTTGAGCAGAGCTCAGTGTCTAAGGGTGTTATGCTCTGTTTTCTGTGTTTTGTTTCAAGAATAAATAATTTTTTGATGACAGACTTGATTCAGACATTGCTTGAGTGTCTCCTCCTCTTCTTGGTCTTCCAGTAAGTGAAGCCTATTTTCCATGTCCATCTTGAAAATACTTTGGAACAGCTCCTTTAGCAGTCTGCTGCCCTTGGCCCGCAACCTGTCTGTAGGAAGCTGCCACTGTCCCACGGATAGCAGGGAGCAGAAGGGGTGTATGGGCTCTTCTGAAAGACAGGCAGCAGAAATCAAGAGGTTGCTCTGCAGTTGTTTTTGGCTCAGCAGTGGAAGGAGTGTGAATGTAGAAGAATACCTCCTCTACACGATGAACATGAAGTTCTTGGATAGCTCAGGCTTACCCTGCTGCTTTACGTACCAGGATGCAGAGTATGCAGGAGATGGAGGACTCTTTCTGTCTGTAGGAAGACCTGTGTCATTTGAAGTGATCCACTGAGACGTGTGTCAAACGGCGGCAGCTTGTGGTCTCTGCAGGGCACCAGCAGAGGATGTGCCGGATCAGGACTGAGTGTTTGCACCAAGAGCCTCATGGTGAAGGCTCTGTTGGAAATGCTCGGCGCAGCTCGCAAGTGACTAGTCCGGTTTATTAAAACATACTGGGCTTGTGAAGAGGGGTCAGGGAGCCTTAAGTATTTCCTATCTAAACTCACTAGACTCTTGGCCATCTTCTCTCTCAGAGATTCCATTCTTCCTTTTCCTCAGCTGTTGGTTAGAAAAATGCCAGCAATGCGAACTGCTTTGTGCTCCTGGAAGAGCTTCCCTTCTGAGCTGTGCTACTGTGTTAAGCCCTGCTTTTGCACGTGACCAGCAGCTCCAACTTCAGTTTTCTTGAGCAGATATTTGCTTTTGTTGATATGTTTACATACGCAATCTAGTTGGTGGGTTTTTTTCTTTGTGTGGAGTTTTTTGTATGTTTTATTTTCCTCTCCCCATCCCTCCACTCCCCCCCCAACCGGCTGCCTGTTTGCAGTTTGATGCCCTGGATGGAGATGGATGGCGAGTACCTCTACCTGTCTCAAGCAGAGAACATCCAGGCCTACCCGCTCTGTCCGGACGGTACAGGTGTGCAGCGTCACCCTCAAGCCATTTTCTCTGGACACCAAGAGGACGTATGTCGCTTTGTTCTTGTCAACTCCCACATCGTCAGTGGAGGGGGGTAAGTTGGGTGAATGAAGGAGCCCTGCAGTGAAGTTGGAAAAGTTTTGTGTAACTCCAGAGCAGAGGTGTCAATGTTTCTACACTGTATCCTCATGCTTGGCTGTGTTCAACTGCTGCTCCTTCTTCTCTTATGGTTGGATTCTGTCCCGAAAAAGCTTTTACTGCAGCAGTGGAGGGGCTGAGTCTCATGCTGCTGACCTTATAAAGTGTCCTTTTTGCTTCTGAACTTGTGTAGATGTCCACAGGATTGTTGAATGGGCATTGACTTGCCAGGCAATTCCGACTGATGTGCGATTTGAATCTCTTTCAGGTAGCTAGACTCTGTTCTAAAATGCAGAACTGCTGGTTAACTGGGACTGCAGTGGTGCATAAAGCTTTCTAGAGACAAGTACATGTTTATTAGATCTGCTGATATAATTGTGGAGAGGGGGAAAACTGCCAAGCATTCCAGCACACACGCTTCTCCAATTAATTTTGCATTTGACAGGCCTTTTTCAATTATATCAAATGACTGAACTGTTATTTGTAAAGTTTGAGCTATTAATATACAAAACACTTAAGCACAGAATTGGGAGGTGCAGCCATGGCTGTCTGCCCTGGATATCTTGAGACTCCCTGTGAACTGTAGCCCAAAATTCAGGTGAAAATGAAGGTGTGCATTTAAAATCCCAGTAACTGTATTAGTTGAGAAAAAGTCTGAATGTCTTTGTAGTTAATTCAAAGCACAGTGTCCTGCACAGCTGCTCTGAAATGAATGAAAAGCTGAGGCTTGGACATGGGTGAGAATGACCTCTCACTTGTTCCCTTACTCCAGCCATTCAGCATCCAGCCAAGGATTCCAGCAAGCTCGAAGCTGTAGGAGGAGGAATGGCTGCTCTGCTGATTTTTGCAGCTTAACAAAAAGAGGAGGATGGAAAGATAGCCAGGAAAATTTTCCTGTGCAGCAGATCAGGCTTTGACTGGCCAGATGTGGGATTGCAAGAGAACAGGTGATGTGTGAGGAGTGGAGGGTTAATAATGCTGCATGAGTTTCAGCTCCCATGAGGGATCAGTCCTGGTCTTCTTGAGGCACTCCTAAGCACTAATGGAAGGTGCGTGTGTCTGGGTGAGATAGAGCTGACAGACTCCCTGCCTGGGGGTTTGTTTTTCAGAGATGGAAATATTGTCCTTCACAAGATCCGTGGCTCCTACAGCGTCAAGTTCTCTGCGCATGAACAGGAGGTGAACTGTGTGGACTTCCAAGGTGGCCTCATTGTCAGCGGCTCCCGGGACAGAACAGCGAAGGTGAGCAGTGTTGTTCCAGCAGCTGCAGGTGCGGGAGGGGATCTCAGAGGTCTGGGGTCATGAATATTCAAGTGTCAGCAGGACTTTTGTGAGCCCTGTCTTGTGTGTCTGCAGGAGCAGCGCTGGGTATCTTGGTGTAGGCTCCTGTCTCTGAAGATGCTTGCTGTGCTGGGCTTTTAAAAAGGAGATTTTGCAGTACTTTGACAATGGCTGCTGGTTTAAACTAAGAGGTGCAGGAGGTGGCAGCTAATGTTTTGCTTCTTTCATTATACATTTATCTAACACCATAGTGGAGTTCCGTGCCAGTTAGTCTGTAATTTGCTGTATGTATCTCAAGCATAGCCTTGCTGCTTCACATGCTCTCTGTTGTATATTTGATCTCTTCAAGGCATAGCAGTATGTCTCTTCCAGATCTGTAGGGTTGTGGTCTATTTATTTGTGGGTTTTGGTATTTTGGCGTGTGGGTTTTGGGGCTTTTTTTAATGGTTCTTGGTTTGCAGTCAGGAGTGAAGTTAGGCTGTGAATACTGTTAGCTCCTATTTTTCTCCTTCACTGGCATCACTGAATCCTGTCACATAATTTTTGACTGTTTCTTTTTGAGACAGGACCTTGTTGATTTTTGTGCCTCTGGGTCTGGGTGGCAGTGCACTGTTGCTACCCGGACCTGGAGAGTTGTTCTCCTGAGCTGTAACCAACTCTGCTTTAGTGGTTTAGGAAACTCCCGCTAGCATGGTGCGGTACTTGTAGCATCTTCACAGCCACTTGTTCCATTGCTGGTAGTGGTTGCTGTGTGTTGAAAGCTTTGGCTGTTGCTCAGAGCAGGCTGATGGATACTCTTGGTCCCTGGTGCCTATCGCAGAGCAGTAATGGAGGTGGGAGGAAATACTGCTATTCCTGTTCTGCAAGAGGGGAAGTTGGAGCAAAGACAGACTTAAATGTCTCTTTCAAGGTTTTGTAGGGAGTGTGTGGTAATGGGTAACTGTTTGACAGGCTGTTGAGCAATATGAGCTCATATTCCCATTGGTCCCTCCGATTGGGTGTACTCCTGGGTGAAATCACTCCTGAGTAGAGCAGCGTTTGGATGCCGAAGGCACTCTTGGGGATGCTCCTTGCCTCCTGGGAGCGAGGCCTTGATGCTGCTTTGTCTCACACTTAATTAAGGATTCTCCCCTCTCTTCTGTGGAGCCTCTTTGCTGACAGAGGCTTGCTGCTTCCCTAGCAACTAGGGGACAGACCACCTCAAACTGGGGAACAAATTCCTGAGGGCTAGAGGGGAGTTTAAGGCTGTTTTTCTTGGAACTAGTGTGTGATCTTGCCCACCCAGTGCTCCCCATAGCATAGGCTCTAGGGATGTTCACCTCATTTTTTATCATCTCTTTTGTAGGCTGCTTTGTTTGTGCCAATGAGGCTTTTGGAAGCTGGAAGGGAATCCCTACCAGCCTTTTAAAGGGCTCTAAGTGTCTAAGCTATTGAGGGCTCTGCTGAGTGTTGATTAGGACTAAGCCCTGAAGAGCTGCTAATGTACATTCCTGTGTGATAGGCACCAGATAGTGTGCTCTGAGCAATATTTTTAACCTCTAGGAGATAGGGATGCCTTAAAAGAGTTAAGCTTTTCTGCTGCTTTTGCTGACACTAGGTGCTAAATTCCCCGCTGACAAGAATAGCCTGCAATCCTGGGCATTATCAACAAACAAACAAATAGGGCACTCCCAGCTTTGAAGTCTTGAAGTGAAACGCTGGGGGTCAGTTACAGAGAACTGGGGGGCTCGAGTCCTGTGGGCCAAGAATGAGGGGAAAATGAGGGCCACAGGCAGAGGCCCCAGAAAGAACCTGGGTGACTTCATTAGGACCCAGAAACAAAGGGGAGGTGTGTGGTGAACTGGTGGTAGGGGATGTGCATGTATGCACAGGTGGGAGAGGGAAGAGATTCACTCGCGTTGTCAGTGAGCAAGGGGGGTCTGTTTGAAAATAGCCCGGGATACACTTGAGAAACATGGTTGAAAGGGAGTGGGTTTATAAAAAAACTTATTTTACAGGACAGCAAACGATCAGTTTCATAGATGATATGAATGGAAGTTTTCCAAGGATGGTACAGTCTTCCCACACTGTGCAGAGAACAGCAGAGATTTGAACATATCCCACTTCTTGTTTAAGTACAAACGATGAGAAGTCTGCGTTGAGTGCTGCCCGAGAGAGCATGTGGTGATGGGGGTGCTCGCTCTGTTACCAGTGGGACGGAAGGTCGTACTCCTAAGCTGAATCTTCCTGTAACTTTAAGTGCTTGTTTCTGCTGGTGATTGAAGACTCTGCTCCTCAAACATAAGTGATGAGGTTTCAGGGAGAGGACCTCAGGGAAGGCGAGCATGGCAGTTTTGGCAGTTCTTCCAGCACAGCATTAGCAGCGTGCATCCTACCTTCTGAGCTTGCACCCTCAGCAAGTTTGCCGA